TTTTTTATTTAAATTAATCAAATCTACTCATTTTTTTTTGGATAGGCTACAAAATATTGCTTTCAATAGCAAAAGATTAAAATATATAATAACTATTACGAAAAATAAATAGTAAAATATTGGCTCCAAACAAAAAGTCATTTGATACTTTAGCCACGACCGTCAACCTTTGTAGATCTATTATCTATGGTCAACGACCTCCAAAGAAAAGCTAGGTTAACGTATTGATTCAAACGAAACGTCAAAAAGTTTGGTTAATTAATATTTAAACATCTAATTACAACAAAATAAACAGAATTTACATAATTAATTGAACTCGATGTAACGAAAGAGAACATAAATTATGTAGACAATCGAAGATGTTCGAGATGGATGCCCCCGAAGTATTACAAAAGAAGTTGTATTTTTTGGTAGAACAATTGCAAAATATGGCCAGGGATTTACCCCCGTAAGTGCAATTTGTTTTTTTATACATAATGTTAATAAACTATTTCCGATTTATTTCTTTATAGGAAATATCAAATGCGTGTACCTTACGAATTACTGTCAAGCTTAGCTAATTGTTTACTAAATGAAACTGTATTTGAAATAGTTAAAGGTCTGATGGAAATACAACATGTAACCGAGCAACATTTATATCAGCAACGCCTCCAGTTAATCAACAAGCATAAAAGTTAGTTGAATACATAGTTATTCCTTGCATCTCTATTGTAGTCTATCAATTTTAGTGGAAGAACAAGATATACTTAATAATTGTATGATTACTGCTGCAGAAAAGGTTGAAAGATTGAAACAGTTAAAAGAAGAACAAAAACAGGAGTCTAAAGAACTTGATAAATCCCTTATAATGCAGTTAGATCAAAAGGTAAACAAAGAGATTGTTATGTATAATTTTAATACATAATTACTCAATAAATTTTAGGTAACTGATCAACAACAAACTTTAGAACAGGCCGGAGTTCCTGGCTTTTATGTTACATCAAATCCTCTGGAAATAAAAGTACAAATGCATCTAATTGATTTTGTTCTTAGGTTAAGCAGAATGACCATACCTTTAGACCTATGAGAACATTAATTTTGTGATTGTAACTGCATACATTCATTCACTTAATAAAACAAATTGATTGTTCAAAATACTTCCTTTATTGAACTCCACAATAATAATTGCTTAAACTGGCCTACAATTTTTTAAAAATCGATTTGTGACATTTTTTCTTCTTAATACTAGTGTGAAAATTGACTAATCTCGCCAATTAACCAACGATGTGTTCTATATTTGAACTTTGATTCAATTAATAATTTAATAATAGTGTGTTCTATTTTATGAAATACATGCATTTGTTACTACATACAAGGTATTTTAAACATTTAACACTGCCTATTATAAAAGTAAAATAATGTCTTAATAAAGGTGCTGCTAAGATTTAATGAACATAAGGATTATTGAATATTTTGAACACTTTAATAAAGCACAGGTGATAAACTATTCCATTCAGTGCAGTCTTTATGATCCATAAACATTTGGTGGTTCAAATATTTCGTTTTTAAATTGTGTTAAAACGATATTTTGCTTTGATTAAAATACATATTTAAATCTTTAAACTATATATTTGTTCTTTTTTTAATGACACCTACATACAAACATCAGCCGAGTATGCTTTATAATCATAAATTGCTTTAATCTGAGGATAAAACATATTTTTTTGAAATAACAAAAGTGGCAACATACAAGCAAGATATATCACATGTAGTACTTACATATTTTTAAAAACGTTATGAATCATTTATTTACTAAATTTAAAAATTCGGAAGGTTAAAGGAAAAGTACTTGATTCTCCTAAAGGACTAGCTTTTTACACAAATGTTTCAAAATTATACTTATAAACTAGGTACTGTTTTAACTACTATACAATTTTCTAATAGAGCTAAGCAATAAAAAAAACCTTTATACATACTATGTTTCAAGGAATCTAAGCGTTCTTTTCTTGTTTGGCTATAAGTATAACGATTTTTTTAGGAGACCTAACATGTATATTGCCTCATCCTAAGCAATAATACCACTTAATTGGCACTAAGTGAGTGAAAATTTTGGTTTTGAATCATTTTCTTTGTTACTATTCAGCCTTCTTTGAAGGTGTGCTCGCTTTTCCATACGACGATCCTTTGCTTATTTTCGTAGTTGCCACTGTCTTGTAGAGTAAAAGCATAACTAAAAGTTCAAAAAGATAAAACATTAGCTTCCAAAATACATCGTTTAAAGAAATTAATTCTTACATGCTCCAAAAATTACAGATACAATTAAGATATAAAACGGATTTCCACTGAAAAGTAACTTGAACATGTAGTAAGTCATTGGGCATAATATGGCAACACACCAGAACAACATATTGATTAAGGGGTGAATGCGTCTTTCAACTTGAAACTCTTCAACTCTCTCAACTCCAGATGTTGCAAAAAAGTCACCAGTTTTTGCAAAACTCTCCCTCATTTTGTCCTGCAAAGATAATATTAGCAAAAGATTTTTTTTGTTTATTAAAATAAACTACTTTCTGAACAAAAATGTCTCTTAAGAATTTTTCTTGCGCTTTTTCGTCGAAAGGGACATCCTCCATTGAGTATCGTTTTTGGTAATAATAAGCAGTCACTGATTTTCCATCCATTAAACTGGTCATTGTAGGTTTAACCTGGTCATCTTCTTTGAATGCCACCATTGTATCATATAAAGCAGGGACCTTGCCTCTCATTGGAGATAGGCTGGCGATAAATCCTTTGAAACGGGGTTGCAGGTGGTACATCAGATGGGGTAGGTTCTTTTCTTCTGCATATTTCTCAGAAATTTTGTGTTTCTCTTCAGTGAAGCGAGTTCCTTCAGGGAAAAGCAATAACTGCAATTTATTATTTGGTAAGGGAAACAAATGTTCTGTCATAAAATGAATATTAATTTATTACCCAAATAGGGTCCGGATGATCTGCCAGTTGTGTGATTTGTTTTTCTATTATGTCCTTGTCTTTTTCAAAAGATCTTTCCAAAAATACAAATTCGGCAAACTTCCAAGCCCATCCCATTACAGGTATAAACTGTGTCGATTTTTTTGCATATGCTTTGCAATTCTACAAAATAAATTTACACTGTCTTACTTGGACATACTTAAGCAATTATAATGGTAACATAAATACTTCAATGTATGTCTCACAGAACTGTAATTCTTACAAAAAGGTAACTTTCTTACACCTAACAAATGTATTCTATCACAAATCATCCAGCCAATTAGCCAATCAATTTCATAAGAGTGGTTCATAACACAATATGCATGTTCTTTGCCCCAATATTTCTTATAGTCACTTTTGTCAATAAAAATTTTAATATTTGTCTCTGACCACCAATCGCCCATAAATACCAACTCTAAGAGTTAATTAAAAAATTTAAGTAAATAAGTAGATAAATGGATGCAATAAGTGAATAACTTACGTGAGTAGATAGACCAACATAAATACCAATTTATTTTTCTGTACAGGTATTTATTAAATGGTCTTAAAGTTATATACAGGAAAGCTTGAATCAGGTTTATTATCACCCCTGATGTGAAAAATGTAATGGCCATGGATAACTGTAGACTCTTCAACCTTTTCAATTTTGATAAATCCATTTTTAATTATATTAATCTGAAAGTACCTAATGAAATGAGTTATTTATGTAACTGCAATGGCAAATATAGGTACGAATGGCACATTCGTTTTCTTTTTTTATTTAGCAACTTACCTGCAAAAAATTGAAGTTTCAAAAATATTAATACGATACTTCAATCATCATAAATAAATTAGGTATAATCAAAGAAATGGATAAAAGGCATCTTTCAATGCATTCTTATTTTATTATACAATAAACCAGTTATATTACAGGTAAATTAATCGATGACACTTCAATACCTTATTAATTTGATAACATACGCATTGAAAACGCAATGAATACCCACACCGCTCCACACCATAGGTTCACACTTATAAATGCTTATAAATAAGCAATTAAGAATAGATAATTAAGTTTCAGCCGCGACTACGCTCGCGTTAACATGCGCCATAGACGACGACGTGCGCTATAAGTATAAATATGCGCATAGATAAAATGTGCGTTAGCGTTAATGCCCTAAATACGTGTCAAAATTTACATACTTAATTATGAGGCCCTCTGTTTTGGCGGCCTCGTATCACGCTTAACAACGCTAGTGGTAGCTCTCATAGTTTGATAAATTAATATAGTGTTGCTACTGTCCGGTAGAGGACAGCACCAACCTGATGTAGTGCTATTTATAAAAAAAATTTATCACTGGGGAACAGTATTTTTTTTTAAATAAAAAATACCCATGTTCTTTTTCGATACTCCTAACAAGGTGTGTAGAAAAATTCATGATGATCGGTTCATTAGTTAAAGCGTGAAATAGTACCAAACATTATCATATCAATTAGCAATTAGGTTTACAAATAAAAAACTATACATATACTGTTCTATTAGGGGTGGTTTAAATATGATTGTTAAACCTCATCATCAAATAAATTTTAGTAATAGTACATGTATTATTTTATTAAGAAGGTATACTTGGTCTAGTTGCAAAATTTTATATATTTAAAGCAATTTAAAAGTTCACCTTATTGATGGCTTATCTGCTGATAAAAAAATGCAAAAAAGAATAGGTAACTGATCACGAGTTACATACAGTGGTCCTCATACGGTTATGAACGGTTCAAAATTGCCACGTTTTGTTGAGTAAATACAAAAGTAACCCTTCTAAAAAATAATCATATAAAATTATATCCGTTACTGATTACGAAAGATATTTAATTAAACAGGAAGACTATTTTAAGAATATGTGACCTATTTACAATGGGTCGCATAAATATATATACACCCTTCAACATTATTACAGGTTAAAAAATGGGACAAGCGATGAATAATTCCGAACAAATTCTAACTCAATAATAATAAAACACGACAGAATAAATTAAGATATATGTTATNTAATAATTAGCGTGACGTAAACAAGAAATAAATGAATAGGAATTAAAAGTCATTCTTATGCTGACATGAATATATTAATTCATTAATTATTCATCGATTTCGTCTCCCTCTCTATTATACAGGATGCATGTAATAGTTTTCGAGATACATACTTATTATCTACCGTTTATTTACTAGTATGACGATATACCTACAGAATAATTAATAACAGTTATTATACCTTTACCGAATTTCTAAAAGCGGGAAGCTTAACTGCATGTACATTTTTCTTTTTAAATTAATTATAAAATACGGTAGCTAGATTACGCGGTTTTGCGGTGTGGCGGTTTTGGAGAATAGCGCGTTGTTGTGGAGGGTGATTGGTAATTATGCAATCGTTTGAATGGAGGTGAAATATAACCGGTGAAATGCCCACAAGCGGCTTCATATTCCGCATAATATTCCACCTTTTCTTGACATGTTCGTTTAACTGTTTCGGTATTTCTAATGTGCATAGTATCGAAATAAAAATGGTAAAGTCTAGCTTTTTTATAATCTGCTATATTGCGGCATGTATTAGCAACATATTCGCTAGTATTTTATTACATGCGAGTGATCAAAACGTCACCAACTATTACGACTCGCAATCAGTAAGTTGCTGTTTTTTTAGTTTACAATGAACTTAATGATATATTTTGTAAAAGTCATTGACTCTTATCGTTTAGGATTTTTTTCGCATATTTTGTATTGCTGTGATATTAATATCATACAGATAGGTACCTATCATGTTCGTTTTAATGAACTTTTTCTGAGTGTCGTTTCGTTGGGGTAATTTAGATCGAGAAAAATGGCAAATATATCTATTAAAAGTTTCGTACTTTTTACTGCTTCTAATTAATGTAATAGATAAATTGAAATAATATACAAAAAAATAGCAAAAAAATAAAATCGTTTTTAATTTCCATTTAAATTATGGTTGTTTCTGTTCTAGAAATACGCTATCCATGATTACCTAATTTTTAAATTACATGTAAAATTATTGTGCGTAAAATATGTAGTTATACTAATCATCAGTTTTGGTGCAAAGGTTGAAGTTTCAAAGTTCAATATTACATTAAAGTGTGCATAGCCACCCAGAATGTGTAAATTGAATGAAAACTCTGAACTTCCTTCTGGTCAATACTCTTGCATTTATTAGCAAAAGGCCAACGTTTCGCTCCCAGATTGGGAACCTTACCAATGCTCTATATGATTACACCAATCAGACCAATTAAAAATTAAGTTGTATATAAAAAGTTATATACATACATTTGCTTGGTTTCACTTATGTACAGTGAAAATCAACATAACTCCTGGCTGAATGTATTTTATAAATAAGCTACCTGATACAAAGATTACCTGTTAGTATATAGATATATATTATAATTTTAATAAAATAAAAATTGTCTAATTTATCCAATAGGATTTCCAATCAGAAAATAAAAATTCAAAAAACGGTCGAATTAATGTCACAGATAGGATCTTAGATTAAGTTAAATAATCACAATTTAAATTACGAACCAATATCACACAAACATGCTAAAAAAGGTTCTATTAAAAACAATTGGAAATTAAAATCACGTTGCTTTAATTGATTTTAACTTTCAAATTCAGTTACATACTGTACAGTATAATTGAAACCAAGCAAATGTAAGTATTACTAATTGTATGTTCCCATATAATCAGGTTTACTAACTTAATTTTGAATTGATTGGTGTAGTCATATAGTGCCTTGATAAAGTTCCCGATCTGGAAGCGAAACGTTGGCCTTTTGCTAATAAGTATAAGAATATATATGTTTCTATGCACCTAATGTGTTTATTTTAACAAATAATATTCTTATTGCTAGAACCCGAAAATTTGGAACGTTAAACAAATTTACAACTTTTTATCATCAAAATACGTATAAAAAAATATTTTGAACGAAAACAATTCTCGCGTGGAATATATACTTTGACAAATTAATACAAATTTTCTTCTGAAACGTATTAGGTACCTAGATTGTAAGTTTAAAAAATATACAAATATTTTATATCCAATGAGATCATACATAAGAGCGACAGAATTTGTTCAAATTTTATGGATAATAGGAGAGCTAATAAATGATTAATTAATTTTTTTTGTAGTGTCTTCTTCAGTGTGTTTATCGAAAAATGAAAGCAGTAAGTACCTATACCTGCACAATTACCTTCATATGTAAATAAATATCGTTTACTTATTTTATTGATAAAATACGTATTTTTTTTACTTATTGATATTTAAACGAAAGGAAGTACATAATGATAGTATGATGACCCCGTGAATTATCATGTTGTGTTGTACTGATCATTAGTAACTTTATAAGTCAATGAATCATTGATAAGTTTTGTCTGTGTGAATTTTTAACTTTTATTTATCGCAAAAAATCGTAATAAACATTTCATTGGTCTCGTTAACAATTATTACGTACGCATATACTCATACATCAGAGAATTCTCAAAAAATAAATGGAT